CAAGATCATACAAAAAGATTACGCATGCCTGGCAGAGATCTCACAGGTGGAAATAAGATCATCGGTAAAGCTCATGACACCGAAAGAGATTGGTATTCCATATGGTATCACAGCGTTACTATTATTGGCCTATATGTGAGGCGGATACTGTGCCTTAGTGGTTTCAACTTGAATCAAAAATTTTGACTTTACAGACTAATTTTGTTTTTAAACGCTCTTTTGCATTGGCCAACGCAAAAGCTCTTATTAGGCGCCGCGAGGTAAGCGGGCATTGGCTAGTATGGAAATAAAACTCTTCATGAGTAAACAAAACGCATCTCTCCCTTCTAGTACCAATCTTTAGTGGCCATTCTGGGATTGCAATCAAAAACACCTCAAGTCCTGCACGTTGCGTTCTCAACACCTTGAGCCTCAGTTCCTTTTCTCTTCTGAAGAGGTTCCGGGAGTAGATATATAGTACATAATAGCCGCTTGCGTGCTATTTGCTGAATGTTTTTTAATTTAATACATATGTATGTATGTAGATCTATTGTTCATAAAAATGAGTACTCAATAAAAAGAACATTTTTGTTTAACGATTTTTTTTTTCATAATTCAAATTAGGGCTCGAGGAAATTACTATGTTACTACAAATGCCAAACCACCATATGCGCGAGGCTTTCCAGGCAAAGGACGCAGTGCAAATAATGGCGAGTATCAAGGCGTGCGGAGATAATCTAAAATACCTATTTCATTGTTTTTTATAAACTTATATGCTTTTGTACATATATACATTACTATGTAAACAGCAGCTAAACGGAACTAATTTAATAAATTTTTATGTAAATATGTTTGTATAAATAGGTAGTGCTTTTTTGTGATTTTAGTGTTAAAGCTGGGATTTTTTAGTATATATCTACCAGTTAATGTATTTATGTAAAATATTGTAAATTTTAAATAGTTTAATATAATTGTGTTAGAATTCAGAAAACGAAACAATTTAAATAAAAATTTCTGTTGTACGTTTTTTTATATTCAAAAATTACTTGCACGGTTCGGCTTTGAAAATCTTTTTTAGTTACTTAATTTAGTGCTTAATGGCAGTGTTCTATTGTATTTTATTATTTTAATTAATTTTGTTTATTGACAAAGCCATTCACTTACCCACGATTATTTAGTTGGTAAATATTGTAAAAGTTTTTTTAAATTTGCTTGTAAAACTATTTTTTTGTTACGATGAGGGTAATTTTATTGTAAGAAATATTTGTACAAAGAATATCTGCCGGGCTCTCGTTTTCACTGGTTTTGCGTTTAACGATTAAAAAAAAATAAATACGTAACTGATATAAAATTTTAAATTTTTTCGTTACGATAAGGGTAATTTTGTTGTGAGAAATATTTGTACAAAGAATATCTGCAGGGCTCTTGTTATACCTTTCATGAGCATGAAATGGTATTATAACTTTGGTCCGATGTTTGTAAGTACCAGAACAAAAAGAGATAGACCCATTAAAATGTATACTTATATGATCAGAACGTCGAGCTGAATTGATTTAGCCATGTCCGTCTGTCCGTCTGTCCGTCTGTCTGTCTGTCCGTCTGTTTGTATGCAATCTAGTCTCTCAGTTTTAGAGATATCCGGATCAAATTTGGTGGGTGTATTTTTGTAATGTATTAATCATTTGTCGGAACCGGAAGAATCGGACCACTATAACATATAGCTCCCATACAACTGATTGTTCAGATATGAGATTTTTCCTTATAACTTCTCCATTTATGCAGCTACGAACATGAAATTTTGCAGTACTTGCACCCATTATCAACAGAATACTTACAGTGAAAATTATAAAGATCGGGTCACTATAACCTATAGCTCCCATACAACTGATTGTTCAGATATAAAATTTTTCGTTATAACTCCTCCATTTATATAGCTAGGAACATGAAATTTCGCGCTGTTTTCACTCATTATCAACAGAAGACTTACAGCGAAAATAACAAAGATCGGGTCACTATAACCTATAGCTCCCATACAACTGATTTTTCAGATATGAGATTTTCCGTTATAATTCATCCATTTATGTAGCTAGGACCATGAAATTGCGCGCTGTTTTCACTCATAATCAACAGTAGACTTACAGTGAAAATTACAAAGATCGGGCCACTATAACCTGCAGCCCCCATACAACTGATTGTTCAGATATTAGGTCTTTTATCATAACTCCTCCATTTATGCAGCTAGGAACATGAAATTTCGCATCATTTTCACTCATTATTAACAGAATACTTACAGTAAAAATAACAAGGATCGGGTGACTACAACATATATCTTCCATACATCTGATTGTTCAGATATGGGATTTTACTGTAAAACTCCTTTATTTGAACAGCTAAAACCAATAAATTTCGTAAGATATTTTATAAATAATAATACAAAGTCTACTGAGAAAATCGTCAAAATCTATGCTGTATAAGCTTTATCTCCTATAGCACTGATTGTTCAGATACCAGTTTTTGCGATATATCTCCTTTATGTAGGAAACTAAACCCAATAAATTGTGTTACCGGTTTACATACCGATCACATAGCAGTGAAAATCACTTAGATTGGTGCCATATAAAGTATATCTTCCATACCTCTGATTGTTTA